TTTAATTTTCTGGTTTTATTTCAAAACTCATCCGCAATAAAAGTTTTTCGGACTTTCAAAAGAACAAGAATATATATGAATTCAAACTTCTCAAAGTCAATTCTTTCCAAATAACATCTTATTAATGGACACTGAAAATTACTCGAATGAAAACTGTTCATTGTTCTGGAAATGGCATGCGGATTGATTGATTAGCGTTTCCGGGTGCGTACGCTGCTAAGGTCATTAGTGCGAAAGTAGTGTTTCGTTTTAGAGGGGAGGGTGATTATTTCCCTTACCTTGATGGCGAGATCCGGCCCCAACATAGACGTTCGCTCGCGGAGTTTTCTCAACGAAGTATTTCGCACAGTGGCACCGCCCCAGTCGGGACAAGCTCTAATCTTTCGTCTGGCTTTTCGGCAAGTGTGGTAGTGTTGTGCTTGTAAGTGTAAGTGTGTGTAAGGGGGTGAGGGTAGAACAAGGAATACGATGGAAAGAACGCGCGGAGTTCGTGACACGTTTGTTAGGCTACTGCTCGGCATTCATGTGATGTTGATCCAAGAAACCACGGAAAAACTTAAGATCAGAGCTGCCGCCCACTATAATTCTCCTTTAGGCAGCGGTCGAATTCAATCTAGCTATGTAAGTAATTATGTCAAAAATCTTGTCACCGTCCGCACTGGAACACTAGGACCTCCCGGTGAGAGGCTTGGCAGTGACTTCAGTTGATGCCCTGAGCCACCTAAGCTTCCCTTCGCTTGAAGTATTTGGGCTATGCTGAAAGTACAAGGGCGGACGTATAAGCGGAAGTATTGGACTGGACCATCGCCTATCTGGGCTTGAGACTAGCTCTTGGTCAGCGTGCTCGCTTTCCAGTACGCGACCCCGGATTCGATTCCCTGTGAGGCAGGACTATAAATTGCGTTTTCCTTGTAATGTTCCAGTATATATTGCTGTGTGACGGGAAAATTCACTTCTCAGGTTCAGAAGACCGGAATAAGGTGTGGGTATGTCTACGTGCTTCCCACACGTTCCCCCTTAACCCATTACTGCGAGGCAGGGACGTCGCCGGTAGGCCTGAGCCCGTTCACGGGCTGTCGCGCAAAGTACAATACACATACATACATACATGGCCTATCTGCCCGGAAAGCAGTATCAATATTGCCATCAACCGTGGATGCTGTAAAAACATTTTTGTTGTTGAAGTAAATTACTAATACATTTACTAGGCTAAACATTTCAGAGGTGTATTCCACCAGACTGCGGCAGAACGGGACCTAGCTACGTATGAAGCTAGTGAAGACCCAAGTACCTCCCGGTCAGAGGCACTGCAGCCCCCATCAGTGAATGCCCTGAGCCACCGCAGTGCGCCCTCGGGGCGTGCGGGCGCAGGCGAATGGCACGCGTGCGGGGGCGGAGTCACCGGCGGGCGACGGAGCGGCGACTGGTGGACCGAGGGGCGCGGTATCCCTCCTTTGCGTGCGTGCGTGTGCGTGCGTGTGTGTGTGTGTGTGTGTGTGTGTGTGTGGGCGAAGGGCGGGCCGGGGGGGTGGTGAGGGGGCGGCGGCCCATAGATCAAGGCCTTCCGCCCCGCCCCCTCCGTCCCCCCGGGCGATGGCTCGCTCGCCCCCTCGCCCACCTCGGAAGCCATTCCGACACAACGTTGCTCCGCTCCCGGCAACTCTGCTTTGTTCGTGCGCGCTGCCATAGCGTAAGCATCGTGTAACGAAATGGATGTTTGAATTGGGCTCGTTTATTGTGCTTTTGAATTTGCATGTTTTAATGTAAATGTATCTATAAAAACCTGCTCTTTGAAATTAGAGACTAAGAAACGGCCTAAGTGAAATATAAAGCAAGGTAATTGAAACATGTAACATAATGGATATTGTTCTTGCCCAACTTTATGTATTATTCTTTAATAACTCGTATGGATCCCTGTTTTAACTTGGCTTATATACAAAACACAAGGTCAGTGAGGAATTAATGTTTTAATTTTTAAAGAATGTAGTTTTCGTTAAAAGTAATTGTTGTACGTAATTTATTTCGTAGCCTGAAGATGTCAATGTATGAAAGTTGTCGAAATGTGTTTATATAGTGAAGAATTAAGTAAATGAAAATGTGAAAATTTGCATTGTGTTTTGGATATATGCCATCTAAAAAAGGTACCTATTCGAGATATTAAAGAGTATAACATTATGTTTCAACCTCTAGAAAAGATGTGCAGAACACATCTGATGAATCCCCGGGCTGAAGCTTGAAGAAAAAAAGATGTGTAACCGACATTAAAGGACAAGAACTTTATGGAGAAAATTGCGTTGTTCATTATAAACATCATTTGCCCAGCTCCGCAAATGTCTACCCGAAATATGTTAATAGATTCCTCCAACTGTGTGTATTCTTCACAATATTCTGAATAACTCAGACTTTCGATGGGGATACTGTTGTGTTGTAATTTTGTAGAATCTTACGTTACATACCTTCAGTGAGCCGTCCACTATTACACTTTTTCTTGAAGGGGGCCTAAAAAACGGAGGGATCAAAATGTTCATTCTGACAATTTTCACTTCACTTCTTATGTTTTTTTAGTGTCTTAAACTTTTGTTGTGTAAGAATTTTATGATTGGATGACAAAGCACACTACTTTCATGATTATTTACATAATTATGATATATTATGTATGTACTCTTGGTGTTTATATTAACTTTATGATTAAAATAAACTATTTACTATTCTCTACATCACATTGTGTATTTTAATTACCTGCCTTTGTATTAACCTTAAATCGGCTTCAGGTCTCTAATTGATGAATTTTTGAATTAGTCTACTTTAATAACACGCTTTGAAACCAAATCAAATATCCAGTAAATAAACATATTAGGAGTAACTAACTCACGGACGATTGGATACGATAACTACAAAAACTGAAATGTAGGGGGCTCGAAGACACTTTTTCCCAATGATTATGCGTTGGAAAATTTCATTTAGCGAAATTACATAGATGATGTGTGCTCCTCATTGGTAGACAAATTATCATGCAGTGGTGTTTGGCAGATCGCGTTCTGTATCAATCTACGAGACTTCGTGTATTCTCCCTACACCAAAGCATTGAGAGTTGCCTATCAATCAGGGAGCAATATTACATTTTATTATTTTAAATTTCTCACCACATGTTTATTAGCAAAAAGTGATTTTCAATCCCTTCATGTCCTACAAATTTGTACTATTTATTTTGGGACGTGTTTTCTGAGTACTTTCTCTATGGATGCTGGGCGCCAATGTAAAGTTTGATTTCACGCTATTGTAATTTGAATAATCATTTGACCACCTCTGTATGTCATTCGTTTCCATGATTTCCCCGGTCACGTCCTTGCCTGTGCTAAGGGCATCATATACAACAGGTCAACTGATGCGCGACATCTTGCCATATATATATATATATATATATATATATATATATAAACATATATAAATATCTATAAACATTTTCCTCGATGAATTACGTACACGACATTCAGAAAAAATCTCGGAGTGTTCTTTGTCTCTGAATACTGTACGAACTCCCTTTTCTTCGGACGCTAAGTAACTGGAGGGGACCAGCCCCCTCTTTCCCTAGAGGGAGGGGGACATCCACCCCTCTCTGCGCCAGTGCTGGCACTTGCTGAGTTCTTCGGCTATATCCGCGCTCTAGGAATGAACAGGGGAAAAAATGCTCATTGCAAGCGGATGTTAACCAACTGTTCGGTTGAGAATCAAAAGTAAACCATGAAGTGAAATGGAAATTCCTGTCTACTTTAAACAAATTAAAATAAAGCCATAAAATGTGGGTCGAACCCTGTTGTTGAGACGCCTGGGGCATAAGCGCTGTGTGGCGAATGTCATACTCATTTCTATGAAGGAGGTGTAGGGTTAATGTCATACTCATTTCTATGAAGGAGGCGTAGGGTTTTGTGTCCTTCCTTTTCTTGGTCGGGTGTTCATAGTGGTGGTTTGCCTTTGGCGTCTACGGATTTGCGAATAGTATTGTAACCCTATGAGGTGAATGATGCTTAGAGATGAATGATTACGATGCAGTGATGATTTAGATTACGTATCCAACTATGACACATCCTTATGGTAAAACCATCTACTCTTTACATGAGACTGGGGCCCGCAGCATTGGATCCACTGACATATGTTCCTTTTTGCGTCAACGAAGCTTTTGCGTCAACGAAGACTAGATTTATTAAATAATTTAATCACAATATCCTATTTAAATGTTACAAACTACTAGGGCTTGTAGTGTGGTCGAAAATTATCCCTTTTTGACATTTAACAGACATTGGGATGTTGCACATAATGGATTTATATGCATTTATGCATGTGGTCTTTGTTCCATAATTTAGGAAACTTCACATACACAGATTGACAGGTCACATTCTGATGCAATCAAGGAGATTTCGTCTGCGAATAAGAGGTTGCCTCAGACACAAATACCACATCTATAAATATAACTCAGTTATGACCATTTTTTAACACTCTGCATGGCATAGAAGTTTGTAACATTTATTCTATTGTATTCCCTATTTGTAGAGGTATCATTGTAACATTGCTTGCCATGAAGGCAAGGAACGTTACAATGATATTTTGATAAATGAATGATTATGAACAGTTGTTATTCAGATGCATTGTTAAAATGATTCAACTGTACGCCACATCCTCATGGTGGAAACCTCCGTCTTACTCGAAATTCGGTCTCACAGCTTCTAGATCAACGAAGCTAGATGATGCTCCCAGCTGCTACGTCAACGATACCAGCAGGAGCGGTAAAAAGGGTTGCGTATTGAAGCCCAACATTTATGTCAGTCGTTTGGCATCATGATTACTGAACGTTAGAAATAAGTAAAGTGAGGAAATAATAGAAAACAAGTACCTGATGCAGTAGCAGATGTAGTTGCGAGCCGCAACGGAAGATTCGCTGATCGAAAGACTGACGCCCTGACGATTTTAACGAATTTTGACGAACCAGACTTTTCAACACCAACCACAAGGAGTCACCAGCGCCTCCACTCGGCCGTCGGGCACAGATTCATGTATGCTATTGTGCCTCGCAAATGCATCCACCTGGAGAGAGAATTAATCAAAATTGATAAATAATAATAATAATAATAATAATAATAATAATAATAATAATAATAATAATAATAATAATAATTTAAACACCAATATTTGGAAATAAATCAGTCGGGTTATGGGGTAAAAACAAAGGCATTTTCAATAGTTTTAGAAACTCTGGGATTTGTTCTGAATTTATGAACTTGTCCCATCTCTGAGAGCAAGAAAAGAAAAAAAGAAGAAAGGCTAGCAGAAAAAGAGAAGCAAGAACGCTAAAGAGAGGTAAAAATGGGAGGATAGAGAAAAGAAAAATAAGAAACGTCATTATTAATGACAGTGCTTAGTAAAAGTAAAAATTTAAAAAAAGGCAAAATCAGAACAGAGGAACGTGTGAAAGTACAAATGAGGAGAGAAGCGGCCGCCCAGACAGACCATCATCTGGTTTCTGGGTTTTGCTTCTCGAGTAGTTACAGAGGACTTCCAAAGAGACGGAAAGGTGAGGACAAGAGCGAGGGAAAGAGGTAGCCTCTTCGTCTGAAAAAAGGAACAAAAAGTAGAAAAAATGGAAAAGAAGATAAAATGAGAACAGGGAAGAAAATACAAAGAGGGAAGGAGGAGCAGATGAAAGTAATAAGCAAGGAAGAAAGAAGGGAAGAGTTGAAGGGAAGAAGAATGGATGAAATGAAGAGACGAGGAACAAATGTTAGAAAGAAAGAAGAATATAAGAAGGCGAAGTAAACAATATAAGAAGGCGAACAAAAGAAAGAGGATACCTGAAGCAACGTCTGAGAGATGGAAATAAGGAGAGAACGAGAAGGAAAGGAAACAGAATAAGGACGAAGAGAAAAGAGGAATAAAAAAGGAGGAGAAAAGGGGAACACAGTTGACAAACAAGAAGACACTAATAGAGAAATAATAAAAGAAATAATGCAGAAGAAGAGGAGGAAGATAAAGGGCAACGGAGCGAAGTGAGGAACCAGTCCTAAATGCCATCACCAGGCCTAGCAGGGGAATCCGCGATCTCTCCTCCGAGGGTGTTTGCCTCACGGAGGGGCGGGCCACTGGCTCCGCTGCCTGCACGGCAAGGGCTTTTTTTTTTCTCCTTCACCCGCCGGCGGCGCGGTGCGGTGCGGGGCGGTGGCGTCAGGGGACGGCCAGGAGGGGTCGTCGGTCGCCCCGCGGGCGAGGGCGATGGGCGTGGGAGGGGCAGCGCCGGCCGCGCGAAATGGATTTCGTCCCTCGCGCCCACGGCGGGGCCGTCGCGGGCGGGCGCGGGCGGGGAGGTCACGCCGTGTGACGTCACCCTCGGCGGCAGCGGCGGCCATTACGGCAACATGGCGCGGCCCCGGGCAGCGCGGGGGGTTGGGGGCGGGGAGGGGAGGTGGCCCGGGCCTATACACGCTGCTCGAGGAGCCGCCGCTCTTGTGCCAGGGGATGCTCGCCCTGGGAATCCACTCGGTGGCAGGGCCCTCGCGTACAACGGGACGTCAGCTTGCTTACAACAATTACGACGCTTTATTATGAAAACTAGTAGAGTTACAACAGCACACACTTTTTCGCATTAAATGCAATTTTGGTAATTTAGCAAAATTCAGTGTTTAAACGACAATCGGATCAGCCATTTTACAACTATACTTTACTCAAATCGAAAAAAAAAATTAAAAAATGGATACATATTTGAGAAAATTGCGTTGGGGCAATACCTCTAAACCTGAAAATATCCGTTTTAATTAAGAGGGGTCGCGTCATCAGAAAGTCGATCGCGTAGAATGGGACGTCAGCTTGCTTACAACAATTATGGATCTTTATTACGAAATCTAGTGGAGGTACAACAGCACATACTTTTTCGCATTATTCGAATTTTTTGTTGTGTAAGTAATGTTGCAAAGTTCAGAGTTTTGTACGACACTCGGATCAGTCATTTTACAGGTATACTTTGCCCGATTCGAAAAAAGAAAAAAAATCCATATTTGAGAAAATGTTGTTGAGGCTTCATGTACAATACCACTAAAAATGAAAATATCAGTTTCAAATTAGAGAGGTCGTGCCATCAGAAAATCGATGGGGCATAATTATTTTTGATGAAAGTCTTGTGCACCCTTTAGCCGCTAGCTTTGTTCACAGACAGAGAGTCGGACAGATACACGGACAGGTATCTTGCCGCAAACCAATTTTTCGGTATCAAGGACCCTCGAAACATGAATTCTGACTACAAATGTTCGAGGAAGTTATTTACTACACATAGGAATAAGAAGAATCCACACTTTTCTATATCAGGAACCAACAATTCGTTTTTTTACCAAAAAATTTATGAACTGAATGCGTCTCATTTTACTTGAGGCAGAAGGACTTTTTTCGGTGTAGAGATAGAGTATCGTTGTGAGAGAAACGAACCCAACTCAAGTAATGTCCAAATTATAATCTTTATTACGATTCTGAACATTGACATCTTTTCGGCCACACCTGAGAAGCATGGTAATAATGACTCAGAGGTACCCAGTTGGTGAAGATGAGCAATATGACCAGTACATATTGTGTCATCTCTGTATTAATGTAATAGAGAGTATTTTGTTATAAAGAAATTCTTTATAGAGACTTCATACAATATATTATTAGTATATCATCAGGCCTATGGAAAGTAACATTTTAAGTCGAATAAAACTTTAAAATATTCCTTTTAATTAAAACATTCTATTACGTGTCAGTAACATAATTAAAGCAATTCATAACCACGACATTTCACATTGCTATGTAATATAACACATCATAGCACCATATGCTAATTGAATAATTGACCACTGTCCCAAGTTTTTGAACTTAGAAGAATAAATAAATAAATGTTTTCCTGTGTGTTATGACATATTAGGCTGCCCTGTCCACCATGCATCACCTTTTCCCAAGACAATCACATGCCTATTCGGGAGGCGTAAGAGAAGCGGTAGAGGCAAGAATAACACCTGCCGGTACTATACGTGCACGTTTTATTGAGACCCGGAATACCTACCCCCTTCCTTTGCCAACGGTAGTTAAAATAACAATACAAAATAGCAACAAGCATTGTCGACAAAATCCGATATACGGAAATCTCTGTAATCTCTTTTGTAATAAAAATATTTTTTGTATCGAAAAACGAACTGTAAATTTGATATAAATTTCCTTTTGTGAAAATAACTAACACGACCGTTCCTCTCGCAACTAGCGAAGCGAGTGCTCAAGAAAACGTGCACGGATAATACCTGTCCTCTACTTGGTGGTGTGGGGCTAGCGAAAGAAGGCGTACCGTACTGTTCTACGGGACATATCCACCTTCCACGGTCCGTTGACACAGCAAAGCGCTACCATGGCAAATATTATATATATATATATA